TTCTAAATTCCGTGGAGATTTGTTTTTAATAAAATACAACTTTGTCATTGTAACTTGATAAAAAGACGTATATAAGCATAATTTTATTCGTAGGGGTTCGAATCTTCTATTTGTTAATATTGCATAGACTCAATCAGTCAGGGTCTTATGGCATACGTATATACTCAGAAGATTGCCTCGATAGTGCAATTAAGTGACAGGTAGTTTTAAATAAAGTTTGATATTTAATTTCACTTGTAATAGTTTGAATTTCCTTCCTAATGGGACTATTGAGGTGATGCTTTCAGGAAGATATTATGTTAAAAAAACTAAACAGCTGAAGTTTGTAAACATCAACAACGGAATAGTTCAAACAATTTCATATCGAATTATAAATATACAAGCTCATAGATGTTTTAATTTACTAACGGATTACATGTTTCTTAATTCTACCTCGAAACAAAGTTGATGTGAGTGAAAATGATATTGTCTAAACAGAAGTAAATGAAGGGGGGTTCAAAAGTGAAATTTGAATTCTTCAATCGCTAAGTTATCGATTTTTATCACGTGCACTTACTGATAAGCTTTTTCATTTATGTTCTTGAGAAAATAATTTCAGTGGAGTAATTAGGTCATTTTCATGATAACACCTATCGTCTGTTTTTGGCATGTAACTTTTGATTAGGAAAATGAAGAAAGATCACAGTAAATTTGCTTAATTAAGTGAAAATCTGTAAATAAATTAAATGAATACGCATCAACGATGTGTAGCACAAACTATCAGAACGAGTGAGAATATTGTTCAGCGAAAACAAGAGTTTTGGGGAATGCACAGTTGTAGATCAACAAAGAGGATATTCTATTAGTCCAGTGTAGTTAGTTTGATACATCACTTTAGTACAAATTCCCGAATATTTCCGGCAGATAGGAATAGCATTAATGGGAATGATAGCCGGTTGTTTAGTTTGGGATTTATAATAATAAACTTACAATAATGGAGTAAAAGAGAAATTGACACGCTATCAAATATACGAAATTCTGTTGATCATTTTGACCAAAAAAATTCAGCTACGATAAAATTTAGTGTACTAGAGTTAGATATCTTACAACTGACCTAACAGCAGTTGCCACGTTGCATTATTAGATTGATAAGTTGAGTTATAAGATTTCGGTCAAATGATTATTTGCTAATGAAAATAGTCTTGAAGTCAGGTTTCATTTTGTGCTGGTTTACTATACATGGTCCATCAGTAAAGTAAGTAATTTTTAGCTCCCAGAATGATACTCCAATGCTGATCGGTTGCTAACTGGATGTTATGAAATTTACCTGAAAAATAGAATGACATAAGATGAACACTGCTGATTGTGATGTGATTATCTACGCTTGAGAAAATACGTCTATTAAACTGTAAAGCAAGAAATATGTAATCAAAAAAAATATTCGTTTGTTTAAATTGTATAACATTTACGTATTTTGTTGATGAAACTGTTGTTTAGTTGTTAAATATGGGTTAAAAGTGGGTTATAGAGATCGATCACCAGGATTCCTTTAGACAACAGGCACACGATACGTCTAAGAGCACGGCGTAGGCAGAACATTTGGACACCTCAAGAGAAGACATTTAAAATCTACCTAGATTGCATAACACATGGCTAGTTGCAAAGGGATACTCAAAAGCTGTGTGTACATATTACATAAATGCTTTATAAGATGTTTTTTCTCGTTACTGCCAGACTTGAAGTATGTTGCCGATTCTAATGTCGTTTTATATATTGTTTCATACATTTAGAGAAAGTATGTCAGTTAATGAGTGTCATGAAAAAAATATTTTTCTATGTCACAGGAGACAAACAATACTCATTCATCGCATTGTGAGTTTTAAAACTTTCCAAGCATGAGTTAAAATTCTTCGAGGAGAATTTCTGAGCTTACGTTTATGCAAACTACTAATAATATATTAATAGTAGAATGATCCCGAATAACAGTATGTTTTAATGTTAAAATAAGCTAAAATGACTCAAAACGTATGTTTCGATACTTATTAAAACACAAAAATAAAAATATGAGTCTAATAAAATTTTGTAACCACTGAATTGAATGTTTTCAATTTCGAAAAATAATAATCTTAACCTCATTCTTTTAATTAATTATTTGAATATGTGACGATATTTTTATAAATCATTGTCAAATTGTAATGTTATTATGTAACACTACTAGTCTATTAGTATAATTTTACTATCATATATACATAAGTGTAGAGCCATGATGTAAAGCTCATTACAAAGAAATATCGCTTTACATTATTCGTCTTGTTTTAAATATATAATAATTAGGATTGAATTAATAGCTTATAGATATTTTAGCAGATGAGTAATGAAACTATTTGAATGATACTGTAGTTTTAAATACAGATCACGTATCTTTTCATCAGCACCTATACACATTGTCAACAAATTGATATTTGTGTAGTGAGCTATATAAACTTTCAAATTTCATAAAGTTATAGCAACTATCCTACAAATAATTTTGAATGAGCCCTTTTAATAAATTACTTAACAGGCAATGTTATCTGAATAGTAACAATTCTCATATTTCTTTGTACCGTTATGATGATTAGAGCACTGACAGATTCTAACTAAAATGTTGATTGCATAAATATCACTCTATGATTCATCCTCCTGTCCATGTATATATGTGTTCAAATCATATTGCTTATAACATTGTGATCTTAGTTATCTGCTAATAAACTGTAGTTTCCGCTTCTAATTGCCTCCTGAATTTAATCACCGTTGATATTTATATTATAACTGTTATTAAGGTGATCGACTGGATTACAAAGACCTCGACATCTGAGGGAAACCACGGCATATAATGCACAGCTCAGAACCAATTAGACGATCTGGACTTCGCAGATGACCTAGCCTTCCTATCCAATAAACACGAACAATTGCAGATAAAGACAACCAATTCAGCAGCAGTCTCTGCATCAGTAGACCTCAACATACACAAGAAAAAAACCAAGGTCCTCAAATACAACACGAAGAACAGCAATCCAATCACACTTGATGGCGAAACTCTGGAAGATGTAGATTCCTCTACATACCTGGAAAGCATCATCGATGAAGAAGAAGGTTCAGATGCAGACGTAAAACCGAGAATCGGCAAATCAAGGGCTACATTCCTACAAATGAAGAACACATGGAACTCAAAACAACTTTCAATAAATATCAAAGTCACAATCTTCAATACGAACGTCAAGGCAGTTCTACAGTACGGAGCTGAAACTTCGAGAACTACCACAACCATCCTCAAGAAAGTGCAAGTAGTTATAAATAGTTGTCTACGCAAATAATCAACATCCATTGGTTGGATACCATCAGCAACAGCCTACTGTGGGAGAGAACAAACCAGCTTCGAGCTGATGAGGAAATTAAGAAAAGACATTGAAAATGAATAGGATATACATTACGCAAATCACTAAACTGCATTACGAGGTAATTGTTAATTTGAAATCCTGAAGGGAAGTGGAAAAGTGGAAGGCCAAGAAACAGATTACGTCGGTAAACAGAAGCAGATATGAAAAGGATGACTGAAAACTGGAAAGCGCTTGAAAGGACTGCCCAGGACAGAGTTGGATGGAGAATGCTGGTGAGCAGCCTATGCTCCTTCATGAGAAATAGCAGGCGTAATTATGTAACTAAGAAATTGAGGTGATCGATTAACGAAGCAAAGCCACTACAAATTACACATAAACTACTTAAAGTTTGTGTTGATAATGTTGTTCAGAATAACGATAAAAGCTCCACTATCAAACCATTCAGATCAAAGAACAAAACTCTACCAAAACTAATTCAAAATAAAAATAATCTTTTTATTTGTTACGTAAAACTTTAGTATCATTAATTAGTAATAATCTTAACAGCGTGATAAATTCATGATAATACATTGTGTATCATTATGAAGGTCCATAAATTAATTCAATCTTGTTTTACTCAAAACTTATATTATGAATATATAGTATCATTTCTATGTAGATAAGATTTACGTGTTAGAAAATATTTTAGATAATCAAATTTTTTATCTTTATTTTAATTAATTGCAGTGTTATCTTGATATTTGTATTGTTCTTGAATAAATGAGATTAATCCACAGTTAAATATCATTTTAAGGTTGATTTTGAACTAGTAAATTACCTTGAGAGCATCATTGGAAATTTAAAAAAAGCATTAAAGTTTTACAATATTAGAGAAATGTGACCTTTACTCAAAATTAAGGGCTTATCTTAGTTAAACAATCATTAAAAATTTAAAAGAACATCTGTTTAATGAAAATTCAGCACACAAACGTAGATCGAACTTAGGAATTCAAGTTTGGCGCTTGAACGTTTAAACTAAGCCCGAATCTGACAATCTGAACGTTTAACTTTAATCAATTAGTGATATCACTCAATTAGCTTCTAATATTCTTCTTGGGTGACTGACTCAAACTAAAAATAGTTGAATTCCACCGATCACATTTTTTCACTAGAACTCCGTGGTCTACCACTGTAAATTAGTCACTAGCTATGGTATAATGAACAGATAAATAAATACTACCTAATCATAGTATATATAGAAACAACATGGATTACAAATCTATGTTATTTGTTCTTGCATAACAACAAAAAATAAACAGCTATTTTGGCTAGTACATCTATTTGAAGTAATTTCATATTTAAAAAAACAAATTCTCCAACCAACGTTTAGGGCAGGGAAAATAGACCAATGAGGAAATACATGTATTTATTGGACGACAGTAACAATAGTGATTGTAGTAGTAGTAGGAGGAGGAGTTGAAGTAATAGTAGTAGAAGTAGTAGTAGTAAATTCTCAAGCCCAACTTAAAATTGTTTTTATATTATTGTTTATTATTATATTACTAACGTTATTCTTATTATTATTGCTATTTCCTTACTATTTGATGTTTGTGCTTTTCTTCCACTTCTAGTTATTTAAATTAACGAATTGGAGAACAGATTTCTTTTCTGTTTATGCTTGTCATACCTATAAAAGAAAAAAACAAACAAACAAAATATCATAAATGAATAAAAATGAAAGAAAAACAGGAAAAGAAAATAATCCCAACATATTCCAGAGACAAACATTAATGTCTGTCAAACGGATAAAATCAAATTATCTTTGATAAATTTTTTGTGAAAGAAAATTAGCAATAACAACGAATAAAAACTAGATGTACAAATGTATAAAAAAAACCCTGTTCACTGTTATTAAAGAAACAAATTATAAAGAATGGATCAACTTGGTGTTTATTTATTTATTTACAATTAATATAATTTTATTGAATAGTTATTAATTTGTAAACAATCGAACAATACAGTTTCTTTAAAAGTGTAAATGACATTGATAATTAATTGGATTGTATATAATCTTGATAAAATATAAAAGAAAGCATTATATTATTATATTGAAGGGAGTATAAAAGATGAACCAAACAATATATTACAATACATTTACTTGATAAATATTGTTCATTTACAACAAAGCATAATATCTGATGTTGCTTTGAATGAGTTTTATTAAATATCAACTGTATATACATTATTTGAAAAATATGAATGCAGCTAATTTATGAGGTACATTTCAATTGTATATGATAGATAGTGAATTAGTCAAAGTATGGTCTTATTTATGTGTGAAGAATATGTGTTAAAATTGTTTCAAACTTTTTTGTTCTTCATTTTGTATATTACAACAATCAGTCATCATTACAGTAAGTTATTTGTTATAGATTAAGATAATACTCAGTTGTGAAATGCTTATTGATTAAAACGATTTATGTATATTTACATATATAAGTTTATAAACATTTTGAGTATTAATTATATATAGTAATGAAACTGACGATACGTTTACTTGCTTCATTCACTATATGGGAAAAACTGGTAAAAACCTAGTTAGCTATCATGTTGGGCAAGAGACTGTCTGGTAGATAGTTATAATATAACAATAACTATAGCAATTCCAATACTAAGCTTATGTTATAAAATTTTACTAGTGTTTTCTTCTAAAAATATGATGTATTTTTATAGGTTTAAACATTAAATATATTCAGTTAAAATTGATCAGGATAGAAGTATTCTTTTGTTACAGATTTATCTATATATTGGATTACATGAAAGTCAAAGTACAATTATAGCTTGCTAGTGTAAACATTTCCGTAAGTCTAAAACGGTTATTTAAAATCTTTACAATTAAAGTTTCATTTAAGGCAAAACTTTGCAGGCAATGTCTGTTGATGATCTTTGCATAAAATAACAACTTTTGGTGAATGTGAAACCTTTTTAAAATCTAATGTATGAATATATTATAGTTTTAAACGATTAGAAAAATTTAGATTACTTCCTTAATGAAGGCATAATGTTTACTAGCGAAATTAATATTTTCAGTTTATTTTATTTCAAAAAATTGATATAAGATTCCCCAGTAATGATCTATTCAATGTTTTCATTAAACCATTCAGCTCTCATTGTGATTACGATAAAATATAACCAGTGAGTCAATCATCTGTTCGCTCGAATCCTTTATATGACTAATAGTAACTCCACTTATCTTATCAGTTGATTACCAATGGTCACAAAAGCATCATTTAGATGAACGGTTCGTTATGATTGTTTGTCATGAATTTGGCTTTTATCATCGTTGGATATCCGCTTAATATCCATTAAAAACTGTAGATTATTATTACTTTTGTTGTATTTACTGACAATCTCGTTCGAATTTTAAGTTTTACGCAATTCATTCATTTCTAAATTAAAGTGATATGATATTGATAAATATATTATAGTTTATCAGTTTTACGTTACAGTGATAACTAGTATTATTGTTCCTTACAACATAGAAGAGCCATTAGTATCTCCTATGTTTTAAAAACATCATTGTGGCTCAAAAACTCTATCTATAATTATTTGGAAAGATCCCAATATTCTAAACCACAGTATGCTAAACACACGAAGCGAATAATTTGAATATAACATGATAGACTGATAATAAAGATAACTGGTAGGGTTTATTTAGGTATTTGTACGTTCTTTGATTTATAGAGTTTATTTATTGTTTTCTTTCAAACCTAAAATTATATAACAATCAAAATGCTTATTATATATATCATAGTATATGTATCACCATAAAAGCTTCATTGTTGTCTGACTATACCTATAAGTTGTTTGTTAAAATAATATAATTTATCACTACTCTGATTTTGACCACCTGAACATTGAAGAAGAATACTTAAAATCAACTGTTAACTCTTTGAATCAGGGGAGCAATTTAAACATTTATATTTAATTCTTTAAATAAATCGAATGATTTTCTAAAAATCTATGTATCTGTACTTTCATAATCACAACTTATGGTTGACTATAACGTAACATCCTAATAAAAGTATGAAACCTTAAAGTTAACGAAGTCATAGTATATTGACAAAGTATTTCTGAATTGACAGGATCTATTTTCTAATTCATAGTTTAGACCGATAAATGAAGCTCATTAGGGCTATAAGCCTGAAACATGAAGTTTTATATGAACGTTGTTTTCAGATAGTACACTTTACAATAAAGTTAACTATAATAAGTATAAATGAGCCCGAAGTTAAATCCTGTATATTCAATCTTTTTCTGTGAGTCAATCCTATTAATGCTTGTTTACAAATAGTATTTGGCGCATCATCATGTTATAGCACTTATATTCTTCCATATATAATTTGGAGTGTTTTTTTTAACGATCGATTTCAATGACAGTCAAATGTGTGAAGATAAATAAGCTGACTATTTACTTTAATTAAGAAAAACTAAACATTCTGTGGATTATAGGCAATCCAATATCAAAAAATTGAGCGGGATCTGCTGAACCTCAGGACTTTGATTTCATAGTTTTTAATACTGGGATATAAGATGTACTAACCGTTTTAAGTTAACTTATGTTACTTGTGAGATTCAAACCAATATCACCAAATGTGATTACATAAGACATTACTGCTGAGCTTTTTTAAGGAATGAGTGACCTACTTAAGGAGTGAAATTCTTACATAACAGTTACTCACTTAATCATTTCTAGAAGAAACATAAGTAAGTACATCTAATAAACTACTGTTATTAGTATAGTAATAGTTTGAATGTAAAGTTCTGAATTATTTAAAGCTATTTTTCAGCCTTCTCATGTTCATAAACCATATACTTTCATCTTCTTCATGGAGTTTTAGTAGGGTTTTAATGCAACTTTTTTTTATATACTCTAAGATTCCAATAAAACACAGCATTTTGTACGAATGTACTAATATGCTTACAGTACTGTATATATATGTACGTATATACTCAAACATATATTTATCCATTTACAACAGAAAAAGTGATAAATTATTTTTTTCGAATATATGATTAACCTGCTTTATTTAATACCGATGATTTAATTGGATTATCACAAAATTAATTGAAGATAATTCAATATTATGCATTATAATCAGTATTTATTTGCATATCTGTGTAGCATAAATGACAATCAAATTTACTACCCTTGTAATTTTAGGACTTAATGAACAGTATAAAAAAGAAGGAATATGACTTGAATCACACATATCGATAAATGTAAAAAAAGTTTCAATGTTTGACATCATGAGTCAATTGAAGCTAGACCACCATGGAAAACCTGGAGGCACTGGACAATCGTTTCGTCCTATGGTGGTACTCGTCAGCAGTGCGCATCCACGATCTTAACTTGTGAGATTCATGGATAGGTCCTGGGTTTGAATCCTGCGAGGCACGATCATGGATGCGCACTTCTGAGGAGTCCCACCATACGACGAAACGGTCGTCCAGTGCCTCCAGGTTTTCCATGGTGGTCTAGCTTCAAATGACTCATGATCTCAACCACTGAAATCACAATCCACAAAACCCTACTGATAGTAAAAACAAATGTTTAATTATTATTATATATGTCGCTAAACATCATATGAATAAGTAACCTGCTTAATTTTATTTAGTGTGATTTATGATGCAGTACAGTAATGATTAAATTTTCTCTATCACTGGTGTTACGCTAGAAATGATTATACTTAATAATGCTACTGTTTCTTACTAAAATCATTTGACTTCCAAGCTTCCATTTAGGACACTGACCTTAGATTATGTAATCATTTTGACGGAGTGTTGTTCTCTGAGCTGGATGGTTTGGCCATGGAGCTTTCATCGTTCTTCTGAATGACATCATCGGCACTTCTACATGCAGTTTTTGCTGATGATGTAATTTAGAAGAACAATGAAAGCTTCATCATCAAACCGTCCAGCTCAGAGGACAAAAACTCGTCAAAATCATTCATCTGAGCTACAAATCTTCTCCACCATCTCAAATATGCAATCATTGTTCAGTCTCTTGTGACCAATGTACGTTTAAGAATTTCATGTTTTCATTTGTTATTCAGTGATATAAAATCCAAAAACCCATAAATGTATGTGACTTAATATTTTTTATAAATTTTTCAATATAGTATAATGGAGAGTTTACGTAATTTTTATCCTATCTGCATTTATCTAAATCGAATATAATTAACTGATGACCAGGAGTTTTAGAAATAGTATTTATTTATCCAAAAACAAGTTGGCGGTCTGCTTGAATATTTGGGCTACCTGTTCTTGCCATCTAGGTATTTCAATAAGTTATCTGTTTCTTTTGTTTATTTTAATACATCATTATATCTTTTAATCGCGTAACCTATGCAGGCGCGTTTATGAAAAGTCTACCATCTTTCAGTGTACAACTTACAAAAAGGTACAATCAGTGACTTCGTGATGACCGAAAATATGCATTGAAAAGGATAAACATTACTCAGATGTCGATTCCTGAACTGCCACCATTTAATTGGTGATCACTTATTATTTATCGAAAGGATCGATCAGAAGATAAGGAAAAGAAACTTATTGAAATACTTTGTGATGAGAATTCTATATTGTACCAAAAATATAGGATTGAATAAAGCCTTCAATAATAATAATGAATAGTGTAAAATGTTTTCAATTTAATACTCACTTTTGATAAGTAACTGTGGTACAGTCTAGATTATCAAAAGATTAATTAAAGTAAATGTTAGCAGTAAAAAACTTTGTCGTATATAAATAGACAAGTCTTAAACATAATATCATGAATATGAATTTATCATAACTGAACAATTATAGATAATTGATTAATAAATATCAATCTGATCATAATTAACAAGTAAATGATCGCACACGACTTACCTAAAGTTGAAAATATGATCTGCAAGATTTCAAAAAACTCAATATGAGACTGAAAATATCTTTAGTATTCACGTTCATACAATGTAAGTTAGTTTAAGATGGCCACCTAGTAAATATTAATCTATAATGATTCTTAAACTGATATTATTCTGTAATGAAAACTAAATTCAAATTAATAAATACAAAATACTAAAATTATCATTATTTAAATTTTTGATTGAGATCATGAACCGATTGATGTTAGACCACCATTGAAAACCTGGAAGCACTGGACGGCCGTTTCATCCTATTGTGTGACTCTTCAGCAGTGCGAATCCACGATCCCGCTCGCGGAATTCGAACCCAGGGCCTTCAGTCTCGCGGATTGGTTGAGATTAGATATCAACACCGTTGGATGCCAGCTCAGTAGTCGAGTAGGTTAAGCGTTTGCTCGCGAGACTGAAAGCCCTGGGTTCGAATCCCGCTAGCAGGATCGTGGATGCGCACTGCTAAGTAGTCCCACAATAGGACGAAACGGCAGTCCAGTGCTTCCAGGTTTTCAATAGTGGTCTAACATCAATCGGTTCATGATCTCAACCAAAAACTTGACAATCTGCACAACATCTAAATTGATTATTTAAATTATAAAATAGTTCTGTCTCTACTAATTCTTCAATTATACAACATTTACCAGAAATAACTAAATTTTTCCCAAATGACAAATCAATTCAATTAGATAATTTTGTTTTTAGAAATGTAGATAAGTAAATTAGCAACAAATATAACAGACAATTCTAATTAACTTTTTATTACATACTTCATACTTATTAATCTAATTCAATTTCTGTAAAATCATTCAATGTAAAGTAATTTACAATGTGATTATGTTATATTTAATAAAAAACTAACTGTAGTTAGTTAGACTTCAAGGCAATCGATTAGTTAGAATCAATAAGAAATAAAAACACTAAGAAAATGTCTAGAGTAATTCCGAATCATAATTTAATTAATACAAAAATGGTGCATATGGAATAGTGATAATAATTTATTGGTACTTTATATTTGAAAAAATATTGGAAAAAAAGTGAAAATATATTTTATACAGCTTTAGTGTTTTGGATTAAAATCACGAACCGATTGATGTTAGACCACTATTGAAAACCTGGAAGCACTGGACGGCCGTTTCGTCCTATTGTGGGACTACTTAGCAGTGCTCATCCACGATCCCGCTCGTGGAATTCGAACCCAGGACCTTTAGTCTCGTGCGTGAACGCTTAACCTACTGGACCACTGTTTTTTATAAGAGAGGTCTTCTGAAGTTTAGAAATTGTGAAGTAATTGTCTTATGAATTCAAGGAAGCAACTATGCAATTGTACTAAAACTATTTTCAAGGTTCAGTATTCTGTGAACTAGGTTCTTGATTTATATTATACACCTCAAAATGCCATAACAATATAAAATCCTTACTTTTGTTATAAATCTTTCTGACAGTCACGAAATGACAGGTACTTGTCAATCTTATCATTTGACTATAATTACTCTTGGTCGAAATTTTATACTATCATTGTATTACTACTACCAAGTCTTAGAATCTTTAAAAATATCAAGAATTTACTACTTGAATATGCTATTGACTGTATTATTATTGTTACTAAATATAACCATAAACTAGAATGATGTATTCTTTGTCATATAGAAAAGTTGAAACGGGCCAGGTACCTTCATGTAAATCTATTTAAAATTAACACTATGCACTATGTAAATGATCTTACCATTTGTCTATTATGTAACGATAATGATACAAAAAATGTGAACATTTAGCAATCATCCCATATAAGCAGTTGCATAATACTATTAAACACAATAGCCAGTTTTATAAAACTTAAGATAATGTCTCTCCAATGAAAAATTATCCAGTAAAATCTAAATGAACTAAAATTTATATTGTAATTCAACGATATTTCGAAAAACATTTAAAATTAAAAATATTTATGCGTAATCTTTTTTAACCTTAATATAATCGTATGCTCTGTGTTTACTAGCTTCTTGGATAGTATTTTGAAATTCTAGTTGGAAATCATGAGCAACGAAGCCTAGCTATGACGGAAAAGATAAATCAATTGCTAAGTGAATTAAGTTATCAATGCGGTATATTGTGACTTATCGTTTAAAATGTAAGGCTTTTGTTACCACTTAAAGTTAACTTGTTCACTGTCAGAACTTGAAGTATCATGTTTTGTCCTGTTTGGATAAGAGTGGTAGTATTCATCTTTGAAATCACTTTAATTGATATGAACCCATGAATAAGCACCTGTAAAGCAAAAACTTGTTTATGATAACCCATTTAATAAATAATACATAAAGTAGACATTTATAACGGAATAAAATAATGAAAATGAGTGCTAGAACATTTCTGCTTCCATAACTATCAAACTAAATATTACTTTTGTACCCTTGTTCACAAATAAAATGCTCTGGATATGATATTTAGAAAATGATTTAAATGACTGTAAATATAACTCAAACAACATCATGCTAATTGTATAAACAATGAATCTGCTAAAATCAATAAACAGTCAACAATACATTGAATGATCCCCAAAAACAAAACCTTTCATGTGTTTGTGTGTGGCCCATATCCATTAAATAGTCAACTGTTTCAAACATCTCAGAAAAAGAATAGTTTTTTTGTTTTTCTTGAATATTTTATTGAATATACTGTAACTTTATTTTTGGATACACATCCAAGCGTAATAATAACAGTCAGTCATTTAATTCTTTTTTCATTGATGAAGAAAGCAATGAATCAGTGTGCAACTAACTAACCAAATGATTGATGTATATTTTCACTTGAAGAAACATTTTTCAATACACTGTATTTAAAAATATTAAGGCTATATAATGTAGCTCCCATTCATGTTGATTTATTGTATAGAAACTTTTACGCTCGTAAGTTGAATAAATTAAATATAATATAAACAGAGTCGGACTCACTAACTAAGTGGGTAACGCAATGGTGTTTGAAGCGAACTGTACTGGGTTCTAGTCCCGTAGTAAACATTAACTCGGATGCAGATCTATTGATATGATGAGTCCCAAGTAGGACGAAACGCGCATCCTGGATTCTACCACTAGCCACCATTCATCTCTACTTATAATGCTTGTGATTGAAGGCAATATCGAGGCAATCCACACGGGACGCAAGTATTCCAGTAAGAGACTGATCAGTTTTAGTCCTAAACATAAATGGGAAGATTCAAATAACCAATAGAAAAATAATTTAATATAGTGCTTGTTGATTTAAAGATGAATGCACTGATTATGACCTGATTTGTTTCACATTTATTTTCATTTGGTGTAGTAAGACAACTTGCAGTGTTATAATTTAAACCAATCAATCCCTTCCTATAAATTACGTTCATGTAATGATAAAATGTAGTTGATTTGAAAAAATGTCAAGTATTTGATCCATAGATATTTCGAACAATCTGATCACACTGCAGTTATATATATATATATATATATATATATATATATATATATTACATAATGAAAATGAATTGTGCTAAAATTTCAATACACATAAAGTGATAATTAGAAATAGAGGATAAAAAGAACAATATATTTTGGGGAGAAAAGGAGGCCGTCATACTAACTTTGGACTTTACGATCAGTATAGTTGGCCAGGGTAGACTCAAGGTTAGAAAGTTATTATATATCGATAAAGAAGTCTGAGTTTTGCAATGTTTAAGGCCTTTATCAACTCAAGATTATGTTCATAACAATTAACAACGAAGTCTCCGAATGCTGTTTTAAGGTCAATCCTAAAATATATTTCAATTATGCATTTTCCTATCAAGTAGCACGTTTTCCTGCCCATGCATGAATTAGGTGTTTGACACTGTATTTAATCACACTTGAAAGCCTTGTTTGATTATCTCCTCCCTGTATGCATGTGTGTGTTCAAATTCATTTGTGAAATAATCAGATGTAGTGGGATGTAGTGTAATAACAAGAAACAATGTCTGTGTTCATGTAAAATCATAAAATGAATGATAATCAATTTGGTTGATTATTATATTTTTCAATCGATGATTTTAGTTGCTGTTACAAAATTGCACTGTTTAACATTCCTCTAAAAAATGATGTATTATAAACTCAAATCTTTAAAAAAGGATTAATAATGGGTTTTAATGTTACTTTTCACATATAAATATATTGATAGTGCAATTATGACCTGATCATTCAACATATATCGTGCAAATAGATCATATATCATTTTCAGATCAATTTTTTTTATCACATTATCAAAAGTGTTACAGTTTGTTAAACCTCCATAGTTTACTTTGATGTAATATATTCTTTATTTACTAGACCTATTTGTTTGATTCTGATAGCTTCATATCTAAATAAAACTTGAAGAGCTGTTGATGAAGTATGACTAATTATTTTCAAAACTTTTAATACTGATTAACAACAGAGAACGTATGTAAATCTGACTTATCTATCTAATGTTAATATTTAATCATTTATCATAAATCTGTTTGTTATCAGAATAAAGGTTTTTATTAAAGAAAAAAACTTCTAAATGTATTTTCCCTTACTATAAACGCCCATACAACAAAATAAATAGCGACAATCTTCATGAAAGACATGAGAAATCCATCTAAAAATTATTGTGATATTTTCTAAATCTAACAAATTCAATCACATTTACACTAATACAGGTTCTATATCTAATAATAAAACTTTCTTAAACAAACAGATTCATTAGACTCATCTTTACAATATCAATCACAAATATGAAAATATAAATAGTTGAAATTTAATAATCAAAATCGATATGAAACCAATTAGTAGGTTGATAATAAAAATAAGTTTTCTAAATTATCATTTTTTTTAGTTTATTCATATTGAATTGTTTCATTTATTTTAATAATACAACAATGAATTAAATTTTTAATGAGTCTTTTGTTTTGATCATTAGATTGTTTTTATGTTCTGTTCTTTTTCTTTTTTGATCGGTAATGATTTATATATTATATATATATATATATATATATATATATATAATTTTTTAAGTTTCTGATAAGTTATTTGATCATTTAAAATGATATACTTAGGACAAGTTAAAACAAAGACTAATCTAATTAAAAGAACTCTAAAGTAAATATAATCTTTTCGAAGTATTATGTTTTCTAAGTTGTTTAACTGTCATTCTGAACAAGATTATCTGCATTTATTCCATAAGAATGTGAAATGCTTAGTAAGTCTATAAGTACTGATTTAGTCACTTACAAGAGCTTTTATAAGTAAAAAATATTTTTAGAGGTTTCAATGGTTTTATTCGTTTTTCAATTCTTGTTATGTAATTTATTCTCTTAAAGTTTTGTTTCGTAATAAGTTAATTTTTTCAAAATTGATAAATAAATAAAGTTCATATTAAATTATTTGTCAGTTACAAATTAACTTAAATATTATGATTTTGGAAATTTTCTTAGAATTTGAAGTTTCTTAATCTATAATTATGTCATCCAAAGTTATTCATGTCCGTGATCGTCATTATGCATTGAGATGGGTGTGATTATATTGTTTTACTGCAGAAGGATTGGAATATTTGCTTTATCCTATAAAATGTTAGTTACAGTTAGTCTAATTTATTATGAAGATTATATTACATTTATCTTTCTTTTCCGTTGACCTTTAGATTGGCATAAAATAAAATGTTTTTAAAGATTTGTGATCGAATACGATTTTGAAAGGTTCCTAAATTCTTGTAGTACCTTTTAAAACGTTTTTCGTATATAGGAAAACGATTTATTTTCTAATTTTTGAGGATTGATTTTATCAGAAGGGATTTTGTGAAGATATTAGTAAATCGCCCCCCTCGAGATTCGAACCCAGAACCTATCACTCTTGCGCGCGAGCACTTAACCTCTAGGACACAAATTTGCCATTCAACGGTGTTAACGTCTAACCTCAACCACTGTCTTTCATTTTTGTTTATCTGTTGACCTTTTAGACATATTTTGACAAATTGGCGAAGACAAACATTTACTTTTAATGGATGTAAGATGGGCCGCTTCGATTTTTCGTATGATCCTTTCACTAATAATTTAATCATTATGATTTTATGTTTTAAAAAAAGCTTATATTTAAATGACGTTATTTTATTAAAATCATCACTTATCTTTAAACTTAATGCGTCTATGTTTTATTCATTCAAGTTTGTTGGTCAAATGCGAATAACCTCCTGTATGCGGATTGGAGGACTATAATGATGATATTGTTTTTACTAAAAACTATAAATACCCGACAGTTTTGTACAGTAATTGTCACTGTTTTGTAATAGTAGTCTTTTCACTTGTCTTCTGTTTTCTCATTTGTGACTTAAGACGGTTCCATCGTTCGGGTGCTCGGGTTGTATGCAGTATATTAAGAATCGAATTTCTAAATATAACAGTTCACAAACTGATATGTTTATTTATTCATTAAAAATATAAAATCCAACATTTTCTGTATATTACACATTATTCAATCTAAAATATCTTCAGTTATTTTGGATGGATAAACTTAATTATTTATAAGTACTAGAAATGTAACACACAAAAATCCAAGTTTTCAACTGAAGTAAATTCTAATGAGATGGAAAATGGACAATTCCGAAAAAAATCAATTTGTTGATTTATACAAAGTCATAAATAATGCTTTCATAATCCTATAAATAAACAATTATGGCCAAATAATGTAGTCTGTTTGAATATTGAACAAAGAATAAAGGTTGATGTTATTAATCATTACTAGAATGCCGAATAGACCATAAATTGTTACATCTAATAGAGTAATTTAATGACTATGTGAAATCTTTGCAAACTTTCACACCTGTTAAAATTAGATAATTATATAATAAAAATTCGTTACGCCATTTTTGTGATATATTTAAAGACAGTAATCTATTATCAGAGGGGGGATTTTATGGAGATTGTGGTAATTTAAAGGTTGAATTCCTGAAGTTCTAATAAGAAGTCGTGACCAGTGGAGTTTAACAAAGTCTGTTGTGAGATGATACCTCACTGAAGACAATGGTGGACGTTGACGCAGTTTCGTGGATTGGTTGAAGTTAGACATTAACATCATTGGATTCCGGCTCAATGTTCTAGAGGTTAAGCGATCACAGGGGAGACCGAAAGTACTGGGTTCGAATCACAGAGGCGAGATCGTCGATGCGCACTACTGAGGAGTCCCATACTAGCACGAAACAGCCGTCTAGTTCTTCCACGTTTTACATGGTGGTCTAGCTTTAATTGACTCATGAATTCAAATATTGAAGTAATTTAATAATAAATACTAAGGTTTAGCAAATTAACATGGAATAACTGAAATATGTGTGTAATGGAACACATACATAACACATATAATGTTATGTTTTTCCATATAAACTAGGAAGGAATAACAGTTTGATATGTTGGTGATAGTTTACCTTTGAACTTAGTGCAACTGAATTTATTTTTAAATAACCATAATTGTACGCACGTTGACTAAGATAAATGTCGCACATTATACAGACTTTATGGATGATTAGTTATAGAATGAAATGAATTATAAACAACGTCAAACATTTCTACGTTTTACCTAATTAATCCTCTTCATTAAAATGAACTTCGTGTATATATGACTAATTGATTTATCTTATTGAAAATATGTTTTTACTTACTTACGCCTGTTACTCCCAATGGAGCATAGGCCGCAGACCAGCGTTCTCCAACCCACTCTGTCCTGGGCCTTCTTTTCTGGTTCCATCCAATTCTTGTTCATTTTTCTCATATCTATCTCCATTTCTTGGCGCAATGTATTCTTTGGTCTTCCTCTCCTCCTTCGACCTTGAGGATTCCATGTGAGGGCTTGTCTTGTGGCGCTAACCAGCACTTGTAGTGAACACGAACACCAAAATGGGGACAAACAAATGTTAATAAAATTTAACAACCATATATTATATGCCCAATTTGTAAAATGCCCATCAGTTGACTCAAAATGACTCAGACTTGATTGTTCTTGCATTTTCATACAAATTGCATTCTGTCTTCATTATTTACTGATCGATCTTCTTGTCTCTCTTCTGCCAGACATTCCTTTCACGACTAACATCATATACTACTTATGTCTACATAAGTGGCACACACCACACACTTACCATAAAGTAATTAATGGCGAAAGTTCTAAGGGTTAAAGAATTTCAGAAAGTTAATTGGTTTAAGTTTCAGATATGTTAGTAGTTCATCAGCTGATATCACTTTATGATCAAAGTTAATTTGAATTATAACAAAGTCTCCACAGACTATTCGAGTCAGGATAAAGTTTTTTATAAGTATTAAATAACAAAATATATGATGAGTAAATTAAATATTTTAATGAATTGATAAATTTATGTTATTTTGTAATTGGAGTGGTAAATAATTCCTTGAAAAGTAACGATATTTGATGATGACCTCATTATTCAGTATGTATCAATTGATTGGTCAAAGGATATACAATCAAACTTCCACAATGTTTTGTGTATAAGTCATCTTCACAATAACTTACTACTATTTAAAAAGATGACACTTTTACAACAGGTGTCATAAACTTTTAAGATGTAAGATGAAGTTACTGGGATACAAAATTGGATCATAAATCAAATACTATAATAATTTTGGCTAGTTTCTTAATTTTACCGTAAATATACTTAAATATAGGGGAAATGTACTTTTGCATTTCTCATATATTATGCATAATGATATCCATCCACTATATAAAAATATCATAATAAAACTTGTCATAAACCCTTTTACTAACATATTTCTAATTTTCACTTAGTTAACTATTTTCTTTTCACCATTTTTTAAAATTTTAATGATTTCAGGCCACAAAATGTTATGCAAAAGTTTTAACTAGAATACACAAGTTTATTCATAAACATTTCATAGAATAGATGATCTTTTGTAAATAAGAATATAATGAATGATTGACTTGACCAAAGATGAAAAATACAGAAGATTTATAAGCGTATCATACAGTAAAGTATATGGACAGGTTCAGTATATATATATATATATAGCAATATTTCAGTTGAAATAAAGATACCAAATATAGTGTATAATTTAATATAGATACTCAATTTTTTGAATTATTATTTTCAAAATTATGAAAATTTCAATTGACGGATGATCTCGTTTTAGAAGTATATCATATTGCAAAGATAGATGTTTTGTTCCACGGAGGGTCCACCTAGAAGAGTTGGAAAACCCTGATTCCAAACCAATGATGAACATGGGTTCCAGGATCCTGAAGGAACCAATGATGCATGAACTAATTGTTGGTTACCGGCTACCATGGGACTGCATCTCCTAACGTTGCTCCACTGCCTTGTGTATTAGACCTTTAGGTCATAGGCTTCAGGAGTTGCCCTTTAATGAAACCACCTGCTTTGGTTTGGGTACACGGGCAGTACCACAGCCCATACACAAATCAAGTGACTTGTCTGGCGCATATGTATTCGGTACTTTCTTGTACCAATACTTACGTGTTCAAATAATAACAACAATAATAAAGTAATTGGTATGACATTATTTTAAGATAATCTGTAAAAACATTGTTGTTATTAATATAAAACATATTTGGTATTAACTGCTTACCATTAACAGATGGATAGAAAGCAAATAGTCCCCATGGAATTAGTCAAAATTATATTTTAAGTATAGAATAGAGATTCCAAAATTTAGAGCTTTATTGATCAATAACAATTTTAGAGTAAAAGAGAAATAAGTTATCTTCCAAAAGTAAATATTACTTAAATGTCATTATTTATGATCACATGGTGGGAAATGACCATTTGAAAAATCTAATTAGACATGATAGGGTAAGGTTTTCAATTCGTATGAAGTCAAATACTAATCTCACAGTCTTGATGTTAAATGTTTTGATTTCGACTAATATGCTTTAGCATCAAGTCCTACGTTATTTATGAATAGCCATCTGTGTATCTAAATCAATACAGAATCCATGTAAATTACTGCTCGTTTCAAATTTCGTTTGAGAAATAAGCATGTTTTCATTATCATAATAAGTATATGTATTTCCTGCTGTGTAAAATCAGTTCTTGAGTAAAATCAACAATTTTAATATAGAAACTAATAACCTATACAATAGTTTATTTAAGATTGGTTTACCATAAAGTAGTGACCGGTGCTTTTGTTTGGTGTTTTTTTATATTTGACCGAATTCTGTCGGTTAACTTCAAACATAACAAAACATTTGACTAACATGACATAGCACGCACTATGTTGAGATGTTATGTAGTTGGAGGTTGTTAGCAAGAGGCTTCATATCAAATGTTTTTGCTAGATAATACACGTCACAAGAATCATCAGTACTCTTATTATTATGTTTATGACTTGCTGACAAACATCACCCAGATTGAAAACTTTGTTTAGAGTTTTTGTTAATAATAGTCTGTTGAGAATAGAAGGTGTTTCAGTTAAATTATTGGAGTTAAAATTATTCTAGTATACTTATAGTGATAGAAAAGTATATTTGAATAACGTGTAGGATATGGTTCAATATATCTGAATAGAATTGCATAAAAAAATTTAATTATATATTTGATATTTCAATCTCTTCTACTGTACAAACTAGAAGAACTCTGTCATATGGTTAATCATCATGAAACTTTACAGGAAAATAACTGAACGTGTATATGAAGTGGTTGTATTGGTTGTTTTTCTGTAATTTCATCCCATCATATCATAAATGTGTAATTTTTATTTTACCAAAACGTGAACTAATTATGAATGAGGCTATGTAGATAATCAATTTTATGTCGTTAACCCTGAACGTCATGTAATTCTCACCAGTTGTAAATCTCAATTTTTATGGCAGAATAATTTTAATGATTAAACTGTATAGATTATACACATTGATAAAACTATAGTATACTTTTACATTAGTTTCTCTGTATAAACATTATCCTACCGAACTTAAAATTAATTTGATAACAAACTATCTGAATGTAGAGATCTGATTTATTCTGTATCATCAGTAACAAATGCAGTAGATTATGAGAGAGTTTTTACAACTTTTTCCTGATTATACTTTTACAAAAATATCTGTGACATAATATTAGAATATTTCTTTTAATGTTTAGTTACATCACGTGTTCGCTTAATGCATGACTTCATAATCATCGTTTTATAAATACAGAATGAAAGCGTAAAAGATCACTAATGTTACTGATGAATCCATTTATGATCAGAATTATGTTACTAAAACAGAGGTACTGTCTTTACCTGATTAATTTTCATAATTGGACTGACCTTAGAAACTTGGTTGTATGTTATCAATTATTTCAAATCAAAATGTTTTCTTTTTAAAGGAAACCAGTGAAATGTAATCAGGAAAAAATTTTTTAGCTTTTAACTGAAACTATATATATATATATATATATATATATATATATATATATATCATTTCAGCTTACATCACTAGATGGACAATGAAATCCTGGATACAAAAAAATACACCCATCAAACCCAGAGTTTTAAGGTCTAATTTTGTGTGGATTATATTTGAGACTACACATAATGATCAACAAAACCATTTTTAATTGATTACCTATGTTGAATGACTTTAACTTATTAATTACCGAAGTTTTTATTTTATATTCAACTCCATTACGCTCCACTCGTCATCGTTATGAACTAGGATTTTAGGAATCGTTCTCGAAGTTGATCACTTTTGAACATATAAATGAAGATGAGAATGTGTACTACCCGATTCTACTCTTATTGATCTGAATGTGACATTTTTATTCATTTTACCAAAATTCCACCATCATGCACTTAACACTAACTAATAAAAGTGAGATAAGGTTAAGAAACTTTAGTAACAGAAGTGAGATGTAGAGTGATATCTTTTTCGCCTTCAACATTAAAATAAACTTATGTAAATTGTTTTGAAGAATATAGGTATGGTTTAGGATATTTCTCAATCGAAAGGCATTTATTCATGGACAAGTAATTATAACTTAAAGTGCCTCATCCTTATTAATACGTCAGAAAACGGTTGCATGCGTGAAACTTTATCACGATAGTTTTATCTGTCGACGTAATACTAGCAAGTAATTCTTTATAATAAAAAGCAACCTTTAATTAAGTAGTATGTTTAGTGATACGTTTTTACCTAACCACTGGGTGTAACTTATTACGCTTGATTTAATTATTTAATATTCATGTTAAATAATGAATACATTCTACAGATGGTATCTGCATTTCTACCCAAAAATAGAATTTAGTGTTCGGTCAGATCATATGATTATTACCAAGGTGAAAAACCAGTGATATATGATCAGTGTACAATAATAATTCCCATTGTCATTGAATCTAAAGTATATTACTAAATTGTATAAACTAACGTGTATCAAATTCTATTAATAGTGGCTAATATTGAGGTTCACAATACACGTTGTAACACATAAATAACAGGAAATGCACCGTTTGGAGAATCATTGGAGTTTGTAGAGAACAAAAATACTATTTACACCACATATACTAATGACCAGATTCTAGCCAGATATTCTGAAATTACAATCAAAAGTTACAAACTTTTATATCACAAATCTAAGTGTGTAGTGACAGATTTAAATTAATTGTTAGATCATCTTTATATGTTTTGTTTCGTTCTATCTAGTTAATGCATTCTGCTAAACAATACCAATATGGAATGAAACGGCAATCAAGTTTACGCTCCCGGAAAATAGATCTAATTCGCAAAAATATCTTCTGAAACGCTTAAATCACCGCTGAATGAATTTCTATCTGGCGTAAATGTGCTACATAGTTGTATAAAGCATGATGAACCTAATAAAGTTATTTTCACCAAATATTCTGACTAAACATTCATGTAAATGGCCTGTAATTATTACGTTTTTCGACAAATATACTACCTGAATTTTAAACATTACTATACAATAGAATTTACAATTGCAATTTAAATTAATATTTGGTGTAGAGCATTAAAATCTGAATTAAAAATTTTGAGGAACGAAACACTTTTATTAAATCATCATATATCTAGATAGTTATATATTCAGAGAGGTTAATTGTTCGTGCGCGATACCGATAGGTCCTGGGTTCAAATTTCGCCAGGCAAGATCGTAAATATACACTGCGGAGGAGCTCCACACTAGGACGAAATGAAAGTCCAGTTCCTTCAGGTTTTTCATGATGGCCTAGCTTTAATTAACTCATGAACTCAACAATTTAATTAGAAATATGTATATTGTATTAAGGCTAGTCAATAACTGATGTTTAATAAAATCCAAGATTTAGGTATTAAAAGACATATAGAGTGAAAGAGAATGAAAGTTATTGGTATTGTATTAGAATTCAAAGTACTACTAGAGTAAAATTAGAAATTGTAAAAATATTTTGATTTTTCGATAAACAATGAGTTATGACACAGTTTTATTAAAATTAGGTTTTTGGTTTCGGCAAAATGTAACATTGTTGCCAGTGTATTATTAATTAGATAATACATTGTATAACACTATATATATCAGTGAAATTATATTTTTTAAATTTAGTTTATAAATGACGATCTTGTATGTTTTTCTTTCAAATTTTTTGTTATACAAGATTTACAAAAAGAAATAATGCTATACAAAACCATAGAAATTTTACCTTATTGGATATTTCATCTACCATTGTTACATGGAAATCGTCATCAGCAGAATTTCACTTATAAATTACGAAATAACAGTCAAAATAAATACCAACAACAACCAAGTAGTTATCAAGTTAACAAACAATATAAAAATACAGAACAACAAAAATTTATGAAATTTGAACATTTACCATCAACATCAAAAATGGCAACACGACATGTTTTACTAAACGATGATTCAACTGCTACTATCACTAATGATAAATATCCTGCATTTGAATCGTATAACAAGGATCTTTCGAAAGTTTATCATCATTCTAAGAATTTAACCATTTATTATTTACCAAATCAAACATCCATGATGAAAACAATAAGTGGATATGAAGTACATAGAGATTGTTATTTGAATACAGATGGTAGACAAGAAATCCCATGTATATTAAATCCATATCCGTTATATGAAATGATTAGAAAATTCCCTAATGTAGATATACATAAATTATATCATAGTTCTGAAATGAGTTTATCTCAACCTTTCAATCATAAACAAAAATTAATTAAAATGTTATTAACTTATGAAACTGGTGAAAATGTTTATCTTCCATGTCATACGTTAGGTGCAGAAGACAGTGAGGTGAGTTTTTTTACTTTTATTGTTTTAGTGTTTATGAGTAGCTAAGATACTAACGTTTTCATGAACTAATACGCAGAATTAAGACATATTATTTGAGACATTTAACAGATATAACTTTGATGAACAGCAATCCAAATAGGATGGTAATATAAATATTAGAGGTAGTCAGCACTTTAATTAAATATTCCAACGCAGTTCTGAAAATTAAAATAATATTCGAAACTTTAATGAGACAACAAATGTTTTAGATATTTTCTATATAACAGGTCATTGATTTGAAATGTTTGCCCATGCATCAATTGTTTAAAACATATTTGAGAAATTGATATGTCGAGCTGTACTTATGGGAAATAAGAGCATAATCAAGAAAAACCTTGAATCACATCATTTGTGATGACAAACCTAAACCATTTCATGTAAGGTCAGGATTATTGAAATCTCATACAGCTTCAAATACAACGGAAATTTCAACCTTTTGTAGGAATGAGGCTTTTGTAATTCTACTTTCAGACGATAGTAGAAAAACTTATATGAACGAATTCGGTTATACATTTCAACTATATTTATTATGAAATACAAAGATAAATCCTCGATAACGTCTTTTAATTTATTACGGCTTAATAAATCCTCTATATAGACGTGAAAATACATGCACTTCAATGTGGTACATTAATTTAAATGCCGCTTGAATTTTAAGGAAACAAGAGCTATTTTTCAGTTTAAATAAAACTGGTTACTAATAATCGATTGATGAAAATCGTGTCTATCTAACTGACCTAATTACGCTCATATAATGTGAACTTATTAATACGACTCTCATGTAACCGAATAAGCTAATATTCTGCATAATTCCAATGTACATTGTCTGAAAATTTTGATCTTTGATTTTAAATTCAACTAAACTCATATCTTCCTTACATAACATTGGGTTTATCTAAGTAATAAATTCATTTGCATTACATATTTATCTTACAAAGCACTTGAGGTATTCACGATGATTTATTCAACATTTATATTCCATCATTTTCTCAATGTGATATATAAATTATCTGACAATTAGACTTTTTAGTTATCATTATTAAAACAAGCTAAGTAATATAACTACTGTATTAAAATACATGTTCGTCATTATCTACAATATAGTAATATAATTACTTTGAAATAGCTTTGACTTGTTTGTCACTAATTCTAAAGTTGGTATAAAAGAAAAATTATGAGCACAAAAGTTACTAAATCCTTGAAGTCAAAAAGTATACATCCATTCTAACTAATTCTTAATTTGTCAATCGACAGTTCATGTTCAAATAGTTGGATTTGCGATGAATTTTCCAATGTTTACATGAATCATCGTCAATCAAGAGGTTAACTAACTTTAAAATGGGAGAAATATCTAGTCAGAGGAATTATGTATCATTGCTGAGTGAATTTAAAAATAAACTCCTATTTACTGAAGATATTTGTTAATATGTTCATCATGTAAAATGAAGATTTTAGATTCAATTCTTTATTCATCGTTATGAGCTGCAGATTTATCTGTCGTCTCTTAGTTTCGTAATATCTCTCTATCTGATACGCTATGTATGATGAAATCACCTATAAATCATACAAAATCTCAAAATCTTCGCACAAATATATATAAAATAATAGTGGTCAAATTGTCGTAATTGTGAGAAAAACTAACTGTTTTACATACGTTCAAATAAAGATATATATATATATATATATATAGATTGTCTAGTATATGTTCAATTATTCTGATTCCTCGGAAAAATTTGTCTGAAAACATCAAATAACTTTTTTTTAATTTATGCTTAATTGTATAATGTTTAAATAAGCAAATTATTTCCTCTGGGATCAAATCAACATCTCATTATACTAAAAGCAAAATAATTAGTTTCTAACTATTAGCTTCTTTAAAAAAATCATATCAATCTCCATCTGCTTCAGTTACTTTTAAATAAAAGTATCATTCACACAAAAACATTATCAAAGTTTAAAGAATGTTAACTATCTTTTCTGAAAGTCTTCCTCTATTATAAACAAGCCTAATAGTACTATGGATTAGCTTACAAAGTATGAATCCAATTTGTAAAAATGCACAATAGAAAAATAGTTACGCATTTGTACTTGGCTATTTATTATATTGGCAAATAACAATCTGATAGTACGACCTCAAATGGTAGCACAGTGATTTAACCCACTTTAACTTATGACCTTAACCATTAGTCAATACATGAGAGTTATACCGGCTATGTTTTCTAGCTCAGTAATTAGTAAGTCCACTAATTTCTCGTAAAATTAAGATTTCTCTTCCTTATTAAATTTTACAGGAAAAATTTTGATATGTGTATCAAACCGCATACCATATTGTATGATCTCCGATACTGATCGAATTCTATTTATTAAATGAAGAATTGGAATACTTTGTGTAGAATTTGATGTTCGAAGATAATTCATGAAATTTTCTTAATATTATCCTTCTTTGTTAACAAATTATCCCAACCTATAGTTTTTCACTGCTGTATTATTATTTTACTCGCTAATTAATAATGGCCCTAATATAGTTTCATTGCTTGAACTTGGACCTTATAGTTACATATAACTTGATATACAAATATGTTTAATAATTAAAGTTAATCAAAGATACTCCAAATATCTATGACGTCTGAAAATAACAATTCACAATAAAATAATGTGAAGTCTTACACTTTTCATTACTATTAGCTCAGTGTATAGAGATTTTTTTTAAAGTGCTAATTTATTATTGTAAGTCATGCATAACCATCTATTACGTTGGATTTACGCTGTTACATTTAACAAACAATAGAAATTTGGAGTATTTCATGAGTCTCCAAACAAAAATGATATTACACAAAATCATGCATACGTGACAGTACATCAGATTATAAATAAAATACCAGTTGTGAAATTAATGTGTTTTATTTCAAAATTATATTAATAGCGAAAATCGAGCTCAGAGAGACGTAATACGCCTTTTTTGAAACTATACCATAAACAAATAACCAAAAAAGTTGGAAAATAACCTCAGATTATAATTATTCATTGTTCATTATCAGATTTTGTCATGGATATAGATGAATATAGATGTGTAATGTTAAGAAACAGAAAACTTAGTCCTATTAGTTTTAAAACAAATCCACCTTACACTTTAACGGCTGAAGTCAGGACGTGACTAGAGATTTTTTCATACGTGACTTATTTCCATAATTCATCCAGCTATAAAGGAATAGTTGGGAACTAAGATGCTCACATACATTTTTATAACTATTTCAGCAACACTTAAGGTTAATTAGATGTATTGTATATATATTCACGAACACGTATTACAAGTTCAAGTTCAATTAAATCCAGTTATGTAAAATTTTGAGTAGTTTATAAAAAAAATGAGTTTTTATCATATAGTTTCAGATCAATTTCTCCATATGATGAACACGTAATCTCACTTATATTATCGTATTTAATAGAAGTAAATAAATACCCCCATGGATTTTAAGAAATTACGTGCAGTTTGCAGTGGTTTCTCGTTTACGGGTATAAGTAATAGGCAATTCCGACATAACAATCAGCGATGACCAGTCATAACAAATTGACAACGACATATAACAAAATGTATGTGTGATATTCTTGTTAGTATTTGACGCATATACTGATAATTTATCGTCTTGAAAATACATTATCAAAATTAAGGTCATGCAAATCTAATATACCGCGTAATTATTACTACAGTATGTTGAAAACAGGATAGAAGACGATATTTTAACTGTAACCTTGTCGCATACCATTAGATAGGCCGTCAAAGAACAAGTGAAAAAAGGGTTTAGTGAATTTTATTTGTGTTGACTGTCAAACCATAAAAAATCAATACTGACTGAGTGCACTAGTCACTTTTTGTGATTACTAGAATGAATGATATAACAATGATATTTAATATTACGTAATCGTATAATTTACCTGGACAGTAGGAGTTATGTAGCTTACCTCTTCCACCATGTAAATTAAACAAATATTTTCTCAAAATAAAAAAATATTTTTTGTGGTCATACATGGAAGGAGTAACTCAAAAATGGAGTAATTCTAATTAGAATTAAAGTAGTACTTAAATTTTGATGTAAAATTACTAGGAAACTACTTATTTTTTTACCACTAACTTGTAATTTAAATGTTCTTTTGTTATGATAATGAAGTTACATCAACACCTTTAATTCACTTGACCAATAAGATGACTAAGTCTAAACATTAGGTCTCAGATTTGAACCTTAACACTTGTACCTTCTGGATGATGGTTGTGGTAGTTCTTTAAGTTTCCACCCCATATAGTAGAACTTTCCTGACATTTGTATTTAAAATTCTGACTTTAGTGTTGGTTGATAGTTTTTTTGAGTTCCAAATGTTTTTTCAATTGTAAATATGCTGCTTTTGCTTTGCCAATCCGCGCCTTCACATCTTCATCAAGTTCACCGTGTTCATCAATGATGCTTCGCAGATATGTAAAGATTTTTACTGTATATAAAATGTTTCAAAATTTAAAATACACATTAAAAGTTGAAATACAAATGATTACAGTAAAACAAACAAACATGTAAATAAGCTAAATAAAATATAACAATGAATATAAGTATGATTATTGAATATTTCAATTATTCAATATGAACAAAACTATTTTCTAGTAGAAAATAAAAAGTTAACTTATATAAACCAATCAGATTTTTTAAAATGATTTTTTGTCATTGTAAATTGAATGAAAATTAAAATATCAACAAAAATTTGCATAATCTAGATATTTTTACATATATTTGAAGAAAAAAAAAGGACATTTGCCAGTGAATAAATTCCTGTGAGGTTTATTTATTCCTGAAAAGTTTCGTTTTGGCTTAATGATTTTTGAATGCCTGAACACTTTTTTTCCATAATTTTTGTTTTAACTTTTGAATAATATAAGCCATAAAGAAAGGTTGTGTCATATATATGTAAATATATAT